AAGAGGCTGGAGTGGGGGATGGGGAAGGCAAAGAGCAAGGGTGGGGTAGAGAGGAGCAGGAGCAGTGGGGATGGAAGTAAAAGGACTATTTGCAGAGTTGATAAAGAGGTAGGATTAACTGAACTGCAGAGTAGATTTGACCCCTTAAATGCAGGGGGTCAGGGTAGGCAGATGACTCCCGGACAGAGGGACCATGTGTGCAAAGGTAGCAAGACTGGAAAGGGCATTGCCGTGCTGGACTAAAGGAGAACACCTGTACCAGCCTCTAGGCTGTATGATGGGGGTTGGTTTAGAGAGGTAAGTAGGGACCTGTGTCAGGGAGTTATTAACAAAACTATGTGGTCAACTGGGTTATTGTTCCCAAGTATCATTCCCTGCCAATAGGCAGAATATATACCTCTGCCCCATTGATTTTGGACTTTGAACACTGTCACATTTACCCACATTCCACTGGTCAGATCTGACTGGCAGTTCAGAGCGGAGGCTTTAAGAGGCATCATATCACCTCCTTCGTCCAGCCCTTACCACAAAAATAACATGTTCCAGAGAGAAGTAGCTCCTTCAGCCTGGGTCTTGGGATGAGATAACAAATGGAGCAGAGTCACAGAAAACCTGCAGCTGCGACTGCCCTACAGCTGTCTTGCAGTGTGAACAATGACTAAACCTTCCTCGTGGTGAAAAGTGAAGACTTGGGGCGAGAGGAGGGTTTGTTTGTTATGCAGCATAGCTGCCTCAAGAGCTAACTTATGCACACTCTATCTGTGAGATAAGGGAGCAGATGGTGAAGAACCTTATACATCATGATTAGGAGTTATGCATATGGAGAGTCAACAGAATTTTGTAGTGGATGAACTTTCTTACCTTCATTCGTTCACATTTAGTCTCAGAGGTGGAGACATCCATCCTTCCTTCAGAGCCAACCTCCCCATTTCCGCCTGCTCCTCCAACGCCTTGCTCTATTGGCCACTCTTTCCCTCTCCTGCACTGGATCCTTCCCCTCAGCCCATATCTCCCTTGTCTTTTCTAGCCTGAAATTTTTTCCTTCTTCCTATCTTCCTACAGCTACACAGCTCAATCTTCTTACTGGCCTTCTCAAACTTCTGGAAAGAGTTGAATATACTCACCATCTCCACTTGTTTTCTCTCTCACTTATCAGCAATCTAGCTAGCCTGCCCCACATTCCAGCAAAACTGCTTTCAGTATATATTTCAATACTCTCCAAATTGCCCAATGCACTTTCCAGTCCTTATCTTCCTAGACGGCTCCACACCATTTAGCATGGAACTAAATTCATTATCCCCCACCAGCCCCAAACATTCCGCTTTATGGATCCTCTCAGCTAGTGGAACAATTATTCACCCAGCGCCCCATGGCAGAAAGCCAACACCAGATAATGAATTCTGTTCCAGACTTGCCAAGTCTGTAGTGCCTTTGAGACATTCAAAGAGAGATTAAACATGTGAGCTGGGGGCCCCAAAACAGAGATCTGAACCGGAGATAAAGATGATGGTTAGAGAGGTAGCATTTAAAGCCATGAGTCTGGATGAACTTGCCTAGTTTATAGAGTACCAACACCAGGTCTTTCAATCTCAGGTGACACACAGAGAGGCCTCCTGGGTCAGAAGTTCCTACTCCTAAGCTCCCAGTTCCAACCATCATTGGATTCCTTCCCTCTGGCTCATGGCTCCTGCTGACCTCCACGCTTATGTCCTGTTCTGTACCCTGTTCCTGCTGTCTTCACCAATGATTCCTAAGACTCCATCATAAAATCAAAGGTATAAGAAACCACTTCCCACTCACTAAAACAAATAAAACTAAAAAGATTGACACCACCAGTTCTTGTCAAGGACGAGGAATAGTCACAAGTCTAATACGTTGCTATGAAACGTACAGTGGTATGCCCTGTGACCCAATGGTTTTTCTGTAGGTGAAAACAAATGTCGACAAAGGAATTCTAGATGGAGAGCAGAAGATAACTAGTCGGGGAGGGGAGGTTAGGGGGTAGAGGGACTGAGCAAAAAGGAAAAAGGACCCATGGACATGGACAACAGGGTGGTGATTGCTGGGCAGAGTGGAGTATAAGGGGGCTAAATGGTAATGGAAAAAAATACAATAAAGATTAATTTAAAAAAAAAAGAATTCTATAAGAGATAACGGCCAAAACTGAGAGTAACTCAAATGTCCATTAACGAGAGTAAATAAGCAACTTACGGTACATCCATGCAATGGAATACTACTCAGCCATAAAAAGGAACCAACTACTCATACATGTAACAACACAGATGAATTTGAAAGACACCATGTCCACTGAAATGAACCAGACATGAGAGATACACACAGTATGATTCCATATATGTGAAGTTCAAGAGCAAGCAAAATTAATCAATGGTGAGGAAAATCAGTAAGTGGTTATCTGGAAGGGTCAGAGGAAAGTGGGAAATTGGAACTTTCTAGAATGATGTAATATTTTCTATCTTATTTTTGGGTGGTGGTTACACAGGTGTGAACAACTGTCAAAAACTTGTTAAACAAAACACTTAAGATTTGTAGATTTTATGTATAGCAATTTTACTTTAAAAATTTGAAAAGCAAATACTTTTAAAGTATCTGTAAAATAAACACTAAAATGAAAATACAGGGCAGAACACATTCACTTCAGATAAAATTACATTTATGCTACGAATTCACCTAGAATTGTGCCCAGGCCCCCCACTTAATGCTGCCCGCCTTTCGGCCACTCTCCCTGCCTTCCTTCTGATCCTGATGACATCTGTCCATAGCCATTTGCTAACCATCATGAGAGATGATTCAACGGAAAGAGTGCACAGCTTAGAACCAGATAGAACTGCATTCAAACCCAGCTGCAATTTCGGAGCCGATGAGCGAACCTTCGCTCCCTCAGCTGTGAAATGGGTTAATGACACGGACCCTGCCCTGTTGGGCTGGGCTAAGGGCAGTATGCGGACTAGCTCCTGGGGAACCTAGTTCTTTTTGACCTCAGCCTGTGAAACCAACTCATATGTGAAGGTCCCCTAAAGTCCTGGAAAAGTTCAGAGGGTGAGACTCACTGGCAGGGTAAGGAGGCAGGGATCCTGGGGCCCTGGAGTTAGGGTCTAAGTGAACTGAGGCTAAGAGCTGGAGAAATGACTGCTTGGAGCCAGGTTTGGCCTGGGAAAGGTACCCCTGGCCTACAAGTTAGGAGGTAAGATTTGGCTAGTGGAGGACCGAGCCCAAACCACTTTGCACACCTCTTGACTCAGTTTCTGCAGGCTGGATGGGAGGAATCTGGTAGGAAACATAGCCACGCCCTGGCCATTTGGCTCAGTGGACTGGGCGTGGTCCAGCAGACAGGAAGGTCCAGACTTCCATTCTGGTCAGCGCACATGGTTTCGGGTTCTGCCCCCAGTTGGGGCTCATGCAAGAGGTACTTGCAACGGATGGATGTTTCTCTCTCACATTGATGTTTCTTTCCCTCTCTCCCTCCCTTTCCCTCTCTCTGGAATCAATAAAAAAAAATTTTTTTTAAACACCTTTGGGGTTTCCCAGCAACTAGAAGAGATAAAGGAAGAGCTGAACTGGTTCTGTCTGAAAGGTCAGAACCGCCCTGGGCCTTAGGGTCCCCTCCTCCTCCACTGTGTTGGCCCGCGAGCCAGGATCCTAGGAGCATAATCTGAAATCTCCTGGACCCGGTAAACCCTAGGGACTCTTTCCCTGCCTCCATCTGCCTTGTTCAGTCATTGACACCTGTTACTTGTAACAATAACTGGGATCTGCACCTGCCCCCCATCTGGTAGGGGAGGCAGAGATAACTCCCAACAAGGGCTTAGTGTAGTCAAAGAAGCACAGACATGCCAAAGAATAACTATGTCCTTTCCCTCACGCCCCAAACACACAGGAGCCCCTCCACACTCGGCTTGTCTTTACTCAGGGCAGCATTCCTTTTTCGGAGTTGTGGAAACTCAGTAGTGTCTGGGGAAGCGTCTCCCAGCCAGGAGGCGACAAGGCCAGGGTTCCTTCCCGCAACGCCCGCCTCCCGAGACACACCAATTTCCAGGTGAATGAATGAGGCAGCAAGGCCTGCCCACGGGTCTGAAGGAGGGCTAAAGGCAGGCGAGGCCACGAAAACAGCCGCCGGGGGCTCGGTTCCTCCCGAGGGGAGGAGCGAAGCCGACACCCTCCGCTCGGACCTCCTCCCTCCCCGCCGGCCAGCGGGAAGATCGGGGAATCTCTAGTCTCTCTTCTTTCTCCACGCCTGACATTTTTTCCCCCCACTGTTTCTTGGACGCCTTTCAAGAGTTTGTGTAATCGTTCCATTTAGCTGTTTTTCTGATATTTTCAAACGTGGGGTGGTGTCCTTTTCGGGTTGAGAGGGGTTCTTTGCAGAGCTGAAGGACCCTTCCACCTCCCTGATATCACCCCAATGAAGCAGGCCCTTTACCGCAAAAGTTACAAAACGGAAACTTTCCGCATGCCAGATTTTTGGCTTGGTGCTGGGCTCTGCGAGCTCGCACCTCTTCCCCTGCGCCCCTGCGCCCGGGAGTCCATGCGCCTCTCGCTCTGCGCCCGGGCTCCCCTTCCCCAGAGGCAGCCTTTCCCCATCCTGTCCTGGGCGAGAGCCATGCCTCCTTCCTGCCCCGGCGATGCGGACAGACTCCTCACTGCTTTTTCGACTTCCTCGGTGGTCCTGCCCCTGCCCCCTGAGCCTCCTCCCTTTCGCCCCTCCCCACGGACCAGCTGCGGAGGCCTCGGCCCGCAGCCCCTCAGGCCCCAGTCTGGAAGGATGGGCAGAGGCAGCGACAGGGACCGAATGGGGACAGTGATGGGGTCCGATGTGGAAGGCAGAGACGAGAACAAAAGCAGGGACACAGGGCAGAAACCAGGCAGGGCCGGAGCGGTCGCCGGTCTTCTCTCTCCACTTCTCCCGCTCCCCAGCCCGCAACCCCCGGGTCTGGCCCTGTTTGCGGCCTCGGGGGCCTCGGGCGGCGCCCCGCGGGACCCACCTGATCCGCAGAAGCTTGGTGCGCTCGGGAACGGAACGCGCCTCGGCTCCCGCCCTCGGCGGCGCCCTCGGCTGTCCGGACAGGGGCCACGCAGCCTCCGCCCGAGCCCGGCCGGGTGTGCCGCCTGCGCTCCAGCCGGACGCCGGGCGCTCCTCGCAGCAGCGGGCAGAGCGCAGCGGGCAGGGGCGCGGAGGAGCTTCGAGCGCTCAGCGGCAGGCGGCGCACCCCGGGCTCGGCGCCGCCCGCAGCTATTTATGCAAAGCGGATCCCGCCCCGGACACAGACAGCGGAGAGGCTGGCCGCGTCAGGGCTCGAGGACCAGTGCGTTCGCGTCTGGTGGCCTGGAGGCTGAGAGGGTGTTTGTTTCATTTCACTCAGGCAGAAAAAAAGCCTGAAACCAGCAAAAAAAGAAAAAAGAAAATCCCTGGTGATGGTGGCTGGCTGGGCCTTTGCCACCTCGGGCCGGCACGTGGTGAGGGTGGGGGTGGGGGACCCGGAGTCCGAGGGGGTAGGTCTGTCACCCTCCTCTTTAAGGAGTGGCCTCGGCGCCCTGGCGCACCGCCACACTGTGGGGAAGCGGAGAGCCTGGGAGGTCCAAGCCACCATTGTTTCCTGAGGAAGGAAGAGCGTGGACGTCGGCAGCGACAGCCGGGAGGGCTCCAGCCGCTCTAGCCTTGCCCGCCCGGAGTCCTGAGCTCTGGAAGTGAGGGGCTCTTCCTCGGGCGTCTGGTGCGGGTCCTGTCAGTGCTTGTTCACAGGCTTAGTGATCTTTGAGCCCAGAGTTTCCCAAATTGGGCTCTCCACACCCGCTGGAGCTCGCCATTGGAATTGTTTAGAAGAGGCCCCAGCTGGGCTGCTGAGTTGGTTAGAGCATCTTTCTGATAAGCCAAGTGAAAGGATAAAGGCAGTGCCGTTTGCAACCGTGGCACCATTTGCTGAGCAGGCCTATGACCTTGTTAAACGTGACTGCCGTTTACACTTCTGAGCTTCTGTCCTAGGACTGGAAATAACTGGACAGCAAGAGCGGATCCTCACTAACGTACTAACCACTCCGTAAGCCACAGGCAAAAGATAACATGGGAACAAACTGCAGCTTCAGGTTACAAGGCCCCCATATCTCAGGGGCCACACAACCGCAACCTCCCCCCACAACCCTTTTTTAATCCGATTAAAATGTTAAAGCCTCTACTCCTTAATGCTGGTATATCTCTCCACTCTCTACCCCTCTCCTTTCTTGAATAGTGAATAAAAATTTTATTCTCTACATGTTCTTCTCTCTGTGCGTTCTTTCACAGCCTGTGTCAGCGAGCACCCTAACATCAAGGCTGCGGGTTAAACCCCGGGGCAGGGCACATACAAGAATCAAATAGTGAATGGATCAATAAGGAGAACAAAAAAGCAATGTTTCCTCCCTTCTTCTCTCTCTCTCTAAAAGTAGTAAATAAATGATTTTATTTTTTAAAAAGAATTGTTTAGAAGGGAACAAAAACAAAAATCTATTTCAGAATGCGTGGCTCTGTGTCTAGTGTGACAGCGACTCACTCCTGGCGAGCTAATGCAGGCGCATCCGGCGGCCTCTGTTGGATGGTGCGGATGAAAAAGCGGCCACATGCTAAACCTGACGAGCTCGAGGAAGGCCTACACGGCGGCCTTACAAACTCAGGCACCTAACGCAACCCCATAGGATGGTCTGAAATTAAAACTTTCTAACTGAACACAGTTCATGGCCGGTAGTCCTGTCCTAGGCAGGTCATGTTCCCTAACAAAAGTCAGTCTTAACCTTTACTGAGCCAGTCTGTTGCTTTTTTTTTTTTTTTTTTTTTTCCCATCTATGCTAACATACCTGATAACAGTAACTTTGGAATATCAAAGTAATTTCCTTTTGTTTGGACCCCTCAAAGAACAACCAGAGACCACAAATCCCCTCTTTGTTATTATGAACATGTTTGTTGTTAACTGTTAACTATCCTATATACACACCTCTGTAAAAGCAGTATATGTCTCCTTGTACTTATTATCCAATCCCAGAGATTCATCCCCCTTTGCTTTCTCCTGCCTCCCTCGTCTATCACCAATGAATTTCATTTAACCCCGTTACACCTCCTCCTTTGATTCTAATGTATAAAATAAGCTGCAAAGCACCATTCTCTGGAGTATTTCCTCTATCTGTTGAGATTTTGCTTCCCAAAAATTGTCATCAGTTTGGCTCACATAAACTCTTAACAATCTTTACTGGTTTGGGCTTTTTTTTAAGTTGACACTTGTAAGGACAACAGTCATCTCAGTTCCAACCTTGGGCTCAGGCCTCTATTTTACCAGTGGAGACTCAAAACTTCCTTTTCCATTTGAAGATCATTTCCACTGAACATCAATTTCAGAGACTAGGAGATTAGCTTCTTAAATATTTTAGTGCATTGGAAATGTAATTCGACACCACGAAAAGGGACACAGAGCGTGGGCCTGATGAATAACTTTAATGGTTTCATGTTAACAAGAAACGTGAAGGTCTGATCAAATACGTGAAGGACGCCCCAAGTGGGAGGCCGGCCAGGTATCATCTCGGGGCTTAGTAGAATGAAGTTTCCTGATGGGTCCAGTGGAGTAAAGTGGTGGGAGAATTGAATGATCAGGCCCACTCAGCGCCTCAGGAATGAGAAACTCCATAGCAGTGAGCACAATGGGTCCTTTGCTAGCGTCTAAATTGTGCCTTTATTGTCTTTGGTGAACACACTTGTAGTAGTTCATTGGTAGTGAGGATCACAGTAAACATACACTGAGCAATGTTATACTGAGTGCATTATTTCCCACTTTACATGATCCAATTTGAGAATGCATTGTTGAAATTGCTCGGCATATCAAACTGAATTATAAAGAAGCTTTTGTTTTTTAAGAAAACAGTGACAGTAACCCTGACAATGGCTCAAGTCGTGTCACTCATGATCCAAATTAAATACGATGATGCAGGAGACATAAAACATGTAAAAACATTACTCTGTTCCCGTCACACCTGCTATCAGGGTCTTGGTTTCAGCAACGCAGGATCAGTCACATTAATTTGATGTTGTTCGTTTGGATTTTATTGGTGTTGTGGTTATGTTTGTATTGGAAGATTTGTTTTGGTTTTATGATTGGCTTATAGAACTATGAGTGTGAAGGCTTAATGCTTAATTTTAGGCTTGTATCTATTTCAGTAACACTAAAATAAAAATAATTTAGGTCAACACTGCATCTGGACTGTTTTGTGTTGTTTTGTTTTGAGAGGAGCCATGTAGATTTCAAAATCTAACTAGAAATTCTGCTGACTGAATGAACACCTTAGAGATTATATATACATTGGGTTTGGAGTTAGTAGTTAAAGGTTTAAGAACTTAGATGAGTTATTCTTCTCTTCTCAGACTCACTGGTCTCTAATGCAAAATGGGGATAAGATGACTAGTTTGTGGGAAAAGTAAAATCAGAAGGAGGTAACTGATAGTGAAAAGACTTTGGAGGCTGCGGGAGTGTGAGGCTGAGTATTCGTGGAAGGGAAGGACAGGTCAAGAAACACAGGTAGCTCTGGCCACTGGGCAGGCTTTGTTCCAAGTGCTTCACACCTATGAGCTCGACTTCACCCTCAACACACCCTAATCACATCCCCACTCTCTAGGAAAGAAAGCTGAGGCATGCCAAGTAAGTCACTTTGTTTAGCGTCTTTCTCTCTCTAGGTACGGCCAAAGTGCTCCTGGGCCAAAAGACCTTTCTCCCTGTACTGCCTTAATTCTTTCACCGAATGTTTATTGGGATCCTGCTGTCTGTCAGCCCTGTTCTTCAAGCTGAGGACACAGAGACAGGGCCATAGTCCTGGAGGAGTCTACAGCCCGGACATTAAACCAAGAACCACCTAATTAATGACTTTGAGCCAATGGATCAGGGTTTTGAGGGAAGAATACAGGATGCAGAGAACCCTGAGATGGATGGGAAGGGGGAGTTCACTAGGTGAAGAGTTGGGAGAGAGTGACCCAGCCAGAGCCATGTGCAAAAGTCTTGCGGGGGGGGTGTGTGTGTGTGTGTGTGTGTGTGTGTGTGTGTGTGTGTGTGTTGGGGGTGCAGGGAGAGAGCTAGATAGCTTCAACATCATAAAAATAGCAATTCTCCTCAAATCAACCTAAAAATATAAAACAAAGCCCAAAAGAGTTTTTGGGGAACTTGATGAGCTGCTCCTAAAATTCATAAGGAAGAGCAAAGGGCCAAGTTTAATCAGGACAGCTTGACAGAGCAGGGAGAGGAGGCTGGGCATTGGCCCACCGGCTCCCAAGCCGTGCCACGCAGCTCTAACAATGCAGCACTAACGCCGTAGCACGGCGCTGGTGCCAGGGGGTTATCAGGCCAATGGAGCAGGGCACGGAGCCTAGAAAGAGCCCCATACCTCTGTGGACAGTCGGGGTCGAACAGATCAGAACAGGCTATTCAGCAAGTGTTGCTGGGCTCCAAAGAACTGTGCAAACAGAAAAACTTGTGCAGAGATGTTCCTGGGACCGCTGTCCAGAATAGCAGAAAACGGGACCAAAGCCAATACTTGTGAATGGACGAATGGATAAGCAACATGTGGTACAGCCACCCCATGGAGTAGTGTTTGGCATAAAAAGGAATGAAATACTGACACATGGACACATGCTACAACATGGATGAACCTTGAAAATGTTATGCTAAGTGAAAGATGCCAGACACAAAAGGCTCCACATTACATGATTTGATTCACATGAAATATCCAAAATAGGCAAATTCATAGAGCCAGGAAGCAGCTGAGTGGCTGTCAGAGGCTGGGAGAGGGACAGGGGGAGTGATTGCTTAGGTACAGCATTGCCTGCGGGGTGATGGACAACGCGCTGGAACCAGACAGGCGCGATGGCTGCACAGCGTGAATGTACTAATTGCCACTGAACTGGGCACTGAAAATTATGGCTTAACCATTTTAAATGTAAATTTTATGTTGTATGAACTTTACCATATTTTTTAAAAAGATGTTTCTGGGAAATTGACTATCCATACAAAAAGTAAAATAAAATATAAATTCCTAATACACCCCCCCCCCACATAATAGATGGGTAAATGACTGAAAGATAAAGTATTAAAAATTTTAGAGGAAAATATTCATTAAGGTCTATTTAAACACACACACACACAGCACTAACCACAAAGAAAAATATGGATAATTTTTAACTCCCTAAAAATGCCAAACATAT